CCAAGCGTAGTCTCGAAACTGTCGGTCGATGATGCTCACAAGAATCGGGACGACTCGATCCAAGTATTCTTCAACTGTGACGTCGTCTTCAAATCCAACGTCAAAGCACGGAGATCGTAGGATATTAATGCTCCCGTCGGCGTTGAATATTAATCCCCACTCAGCTCCGGATCCGCCATTCAACATTGAGGGGTGGGAAGAAGAGAAAGGGAGGATGAGTTGGGCCGTTAGCTAGGGAGGGGAGAAGAGAAAATTTGAATTTAAATTTCAGATTTTCTTGGCTTGGAGGGAGAAGTTATTTTATCATTAAACCTTCCCTAAATTAAATTAAGAGGGGGCGGCAATTAGGGGGGAAAATAAGGGTGTAATAAGTAAATGCCTGGGTGGCAAGGAGAGAGAATATGTGAGATGGGTGGCCGGCCAAGCAAGGGAGGGAGAGAAGGAATTTGATTAATTAGTGGGGATGGGTTTGGGTATGGAGGTATGGTGGGGGAAGGAGAAAACAACGAACTAAATAAAGAAAAGCAAGAGCTCACCGGCATGGGCTGTTGGGTAATTCGGGTGGAGCCTCTCCTAGGTCTCCTCTCTTTCTCTCAAGCTCCCAAGCAAGAAGACAAAGACAAATTTCAGAAATTTTATTAATCAAACATTAAGCTCATAGAATAGGAGGAGACCCCTTTATAAAGGTCTCAAAGCATGAAAATAAAAGACTCACATGCCCATCGGGCTACAAGAAACACTACGCCTTCATAAGGGAAAAATAGTCACTAATGCATGAAATAAAAGATACATAAAATAACATAGAAAAATATCATAAAATGACATGGCAACATCAGAAATATAAGCTCCCGATCGTAGCCGTCGATCTATGATTCCTTCGCCGGTAAACCTGCCTAAAATGTCTGTCGATTACCTCATCATTCTCCCCGATCAAGATCCCATGGTTCCGTCGTCCCGGACCATCGTGGTCCCTGGTCTACTTAGAGGACTTGGTCGACCCAACCTGACAGAAGGATCCTTGTCGGCTATCATGGGTTGCTTCATCCAAGGGGACCTTGTAGACCTAGGATGAATATTTGTCTAAGGAAAAAAATTTGAATCTACCTTAGCTAACAGAGGGCTTTATGTCCTATCGATTATATTCTATTGATACATATTTCAAGGACTTGATGCCACTAAGGAACGTATTGGCTCTAGGCATAACCGTTATCTCGTGATGCCATTTGGCAGCAGAAACACTCGGTTCAGAGGGCCTCGGTCATAACCGTTTACCTGCAGTGCCATTTGGCGACAAAACGGCCTGTTAGAGGATATGTACCACGTCCTTACAGGCAAGAGACTGTTTTGAAAATGAATCCTAGTAATATTCTCGACCGGACATTAGTTCTTTGTGAGCTAAAGTAGTTTTTCAATTTGTCCACCTCGATAAATTATTGTGGATGGCGGATGGATTTTGTTTTAAGTGATTTGATAGATTATTTCAATTTTAAATATTCTACACTTGGATAATTTTTGGAATTTTGGATTTCATGGCCATTTGGGATGGCAATTTGAATATTTGATAATAACCCCTTCTGTTGAGATTTTCTGTTAATAAGGTCATCATCGGGGTGACTTTGGGGTCATTTGAAAGTGTTTACATCTTAATGGAAGTTTGAACTTTGTAGAGGTTTGGAGGTATTTTGAATGTTTTGGAAATAACCCCTTCGGTTGAAATTTTCTGACAACATGGTCATCATTGGGGTGAATGGGCATTTTCATTGACTAAACATTATCGACCCTATCAACTTGCTGATAGGGGATCGAGTTTGTCATTTGTATGATTTTATTTAATGAATTTCCTTTGTCATAGACCTGAAGGCCTTATATAAACGCATAAAACAAATATTCCGGTCCACACCTTGATCGTATATCTGTTCAATAATTCGAGCTGTGTCGACTCATATATATCCATGTAGAAGGATCGAGCTCAAACTTGAGTTCATTTATTGACCCGCGCAGCATCCCTAGATATTACGTGTGTACCCTTAACATGCTTGCCGCCCATGCAGGTTTTGTGATTGCCCTTGCCCCTTTTGTGTACATATGTGCATACATATTATAGTGGATATGCGGGGGCATTTCTTGGAACATCTGACGGGCCTTCTACGACGTCTCGTAGAAGCTTGTATTTGTCATAATATCTTTGTGTTCGCCATTAGACTTCATGTCGAGTACACAATGGGTCTTCTACAGCGGCCCGTAGGCACTTACATTCTCCATATTCATTTGGCATATTATTCCTAGATAATATTTTGAGCATGTAGCGGGTTTCCTACAAGAGCATGTGGACATTTGCATTTGCTATATATCATTCTGCCTTTGGCTTGTAGAAGATTAGTATATTTGTTGGCCATTGAACAGAGGTTGAGTGTTGTAACAACTACGACTTACTGTTGGCTAACATAAATAAGACACTTGTAGGTGTGTCGTTATGCATATAACAAATCTTCCACTATTATTGATGGGTATTCGTATTTTCTTCAATCTTTTATTCTTTCCAGCTCTCTGGTATCACCCATGGTCGAGTTGTGTTGATGTAAATCTTCTACTACTGTTTATAGGATACCGATGTATTCTCTATATGAATATCCTAGTGTTTACTACATGTTGCGTTTGCATGTTTGCAAGCAAGTTGCAAGGAATTCAAGTCTTCTAATACTATTTACGGACACTTGTATTCATCACAACTCTTCTAGAGTCGCTTGTAGGGATGTTGTATGCATTACAAATGTAAAAAGTCCTTGCCCTTATATGATGTGCTACGTGCATTGCAACTTGTTGCTTTCATTGCATATATTCCTGACAACCACTACCAACATTCCTTTCTATTTGTAGGCCAGGAGATGCATACATTCCTTTCATATATATGGTTGATCTCCCACATTGCTCCATAAGACCTCACATGTATTATAAGTGTGTTTCCCTTTGCTTGCGGGTTGTGTGTTAATTGGTTTGTAAGCAGAGGTTGACCGCATGGAGATTATTGCATTCATCGTATATCTTAGTTGTCACTTGCATGCAACCTATTGCATAAATTACTTGCCTTTTTGTTATGTTGCTAGATGATTTGCAAATGAAATTTCCATTGCTACCTGTGAACAAGTCAAAATCTTCATTGTTCATTTGCCTACAAACAAATCATGTATATAGGGCTTTCAGCATAAGTCCTTGTGCACTTGCTTGCATGGTTGGCAAATGTCACAATTAATCACCCTCATATGATTTGTAGTATCCAGTCATGTCTTTGCTTGTAATTAGATTGCACTTCACTCTTAGTGATTGCTTATAAACACTCTTGCATTTTGTTCAAATCAAATCCCTTGTGGCATGAATGCCTTGTCTTTCAATGCATAAATTAAAGTCCTATGCAATTCCATTTAGCTCAAGCTCGTATTCAATTTGAGTCAAAGTTCTTTATGTTCATTTGATTCCTTGTAGTTGTTATTCAAATCAAGTTCTTCTTGGTTCTCTATTATGTTTAAATTCAAATTCATAAGTTCATTGTATTCTTTGTCAAGTTCAAGCTCAAGCCCCTTGTGGTTCAGATCAGGTTCAAGTTCCATGCCATCATGAGTTTGATTTTCTATAACTTGTTCATTTGAGCCAGAGTTCACAAGTCTTTGCTCGTCATCATTTTTAATATTTCCAAGTTCAAGTTCTTTATGCTCAAGTTTGATTTAAGTCATTTGCTTGTTTATTCAAATTAGAATTCAGTTCATTTTGATGATCAAATCAATGTCCAAATAAAGTCCAAGTTCTTATTATTTGGTCCAAATTAAGTTCATAAGTCCCCTATTAATTTTTTCAAGTCCTTATGCGCTTCAGTCCAAATTTATACAACCTCCCGGCGTCTCCCCTTTTAGGGGAAACTACAGGAGTCTTAGCCTGCCCGCCACGTCAAGAAAGACGTGCACGGTTGGTGTCGTGGGAAATCGCGACCATAATTTTTGTCCTTCACCACGCTAAGAAAGGTGTGCATGGGTCTTCCAAAAGCACATGTTTTGAAAAAATGCAGTTTTTCCCCGCGTACGGGTACTTATGTTTTGCCCCACCATACTAAAAAAATGCATAAGGTTTGCCCGCCTCACCGAAAGCACCGCACCAAGTTCTCTCCCACCACGCTAAGAAAAGTGTGCATAAGGAATCCCTTGGCGCACAGCTAACACCAAATGCAAGACTTTAGAGGTTCACCCGCCTTGTCGCAAGCACCGCAATGAACTTCCTCCCATCGTGTTAAAAAAACGCGCATGGGTGGTTGTTCGACACACTGTAAGCGCTGAGGACGGGGTTTGGGTTTAGAGAAAGTTATACCTGCATCGACGAGGTGGTGGTGACAATGAAATGCATAAGAAACTTCTTCCCCCTCTTCTCTTTTTTTTTGTATTTTCTCATTTTTCTTTCTTTTCCTTTTTTTTCTTTTTTGTTTTGAAATTTCTTTTCTTTATTTTATTTTATTTTTCTTTTCCATCTTTTTTTGTATATTTTTTTATGTGTGTATATATATATATATATGATATAACAACTAATAATACATTAATAGGTAACTATGGTTATAGTATATAAATAAAAAAAAGTTAAAATATACTTACCAGGCCGGGTAGGACCGAGTTGTTTGGGTTAAAGATTTAGTTCATAAGAGGAAGAGGCTTCGGCTACTACAAGTTCGACTAGGAATAGAAGTGCTCGCAGCAAGAGGAATCAGGAAGAGATGTCGAAGGCTATAGAGTTGTGAGGTGTTTGACAGCCTTGGAGTCGGACAAATGTTGAAACTGGCGACGAGAGGTCTGGCTTGCGGGAAAGATCATGTGAGAGGAAGATCGGTGCTTGGGGTCGTGGATTTGCGGCTGAGTGCATATTTTAGAACTGATCAGCCGTGTCTTAACACAAGAAATTCTGCTTATCATAATTTGAAATAGCAACAAGTGAAACGTAACCATGGAATCAAGAAGGGAACATACCGAAATGAATTCACATATGCGATATTGTATTGACATCAATTCACAAGCCTCTGCTCGAGATGTTAATAAGTCAGCTATGTGCACTCTTTGAGCTCCAGAGATTATCTCCTCACCTAGAAAAAATCAGGAGAAGGAATTAGTAAGTTCTTTTAGAAAGTAACTGCTGCATGCTGTTCTGCTGTAAGGCTAAAATTAGTAATACCATGTTCCCAGAAAATCCTGATATATATTTCACCTAATTTTCTATGAACTTTGTCAGACTAATAGCATACCAACCATTAGTGTTTTCATAGAAGAAACACTCTAGGAGACACAGGTGTACGCAGGAAAAAAAACTAAAAACCCCTGGTCAAAGTTAAATTTTTATTATTTTAATTAGAAATCAACAATAATCAGTTTTAAATCGTTAATCTAGATTAATTTCACGGTTGGTTTTGAAATATCGGCAATCTTTTTAAGTGCAACCTACTGATGCTAGAACAAAACAATAAAGTTACAAGATTCTGAACAAAGGGATACCTTTACTTTTGATCTGACAAAAATGCACAGAGGATGCAGTATATATATATATATACTATATATATCTTATATATATATATATATATATATATATATATACTATGAGAAGAATAGCTGTTATCCACTCAAAAAGATTTTCATGTTATGATCTTCGAACGCAAGATTAAACCAGTCATTCTTTTCAATATCAATAAAACTTATGCGATGAGCAACTTCAAGACTTTTTAAGATCATTTTTTTCATTAACCCAGGCAACTCACTATTTTCCAAAGGCAGTTGAATGGATCCGATTGTAATGAGAAGGTATATCCTCTGATTTTACTGTTAGACACCTCTTCAAATATGTCATATTAAATGAAATGGATTATTCGTTAAAATTTAGTATATATTAACCGTATAATTTTTATAGGTGTATATATATGAATACGTTAAATCTTTAAATTTAGAAGTTGCCTTCTATCACATGTCATCGTATATGATCAACCTCTTTTGTCATCATGCTCAATAAATGATTTAAATTATTAGCAAAATTAATGAAATTTGATACTACAAGGATTTTCATACTTTGCAAATTGCGATCAAATAATATATCTTGATAGTTTGGAATATTATAAAAGCAGATCAGACTAGCACCTTCTCCTACAGCCTACACCCTCTATCTCTCTCTCTCTAATCGCTCTCTCCTCTCTCTCTCATAGTATATATATATATATATATAACTTGAATATCACACTAAATATATCCATTTGCAAATAATAACATGTTTTAAGAAGCAATAATAAAGTTGTCACTAACAAAACCTAAGTCTTCTAAAAATGAAGTCTAATTTAGCTAGTGTTAGCCTAAAAGAAATATTTTGTTAAATCTTTCAAAGAATAATAGTTTAATTCACCATAATTATTAAAATAGCCCAACCAAAAACATATTTCACTACTCAAAGATGTTTCATTTCTTGTTTTTTTAATGATTGGAAATCACTTGAAACAAGTATAATATCAACTTTTACAATAGACTCCACGAGCAGTCCATGAATGTGTACCATCATCAGGGGCCTCTTAGCAACAAGTCCTTTGAACAGCCCAAAAGATTGATGTTTAGGGTTGGTTATCTATCAAAAGCTAAAGTTTGATAATGTGAGTTAACTAAATGACTTATTAGTAAGAATAGATTAAGCTGCCATACCAATAATATTAAAGATTATATTAGTATGCTACACAACAACAACATAAAATCTTTATCTCATTACGTGGGATCAGTTATATGAATCATTTTTCTCCAATGTGTCCTATTAAGAATTAAATTCTCATTTAAATCAAGCAAGAAAAGGATCAAATTCTAATACTTTCTAACATTTTTTTGTAAGATCTACCTCTACCTTTCTTAACATAAGTCAGGTGTAATACATCTACTCTCCTAACCGGGTCTAATATATAATACAGGTGAAAAATTATGTTGAGTGATAATCCATAATCAATTATAACCATAGACATCTATCACATATTGAATTCAATATTTTAAAACACAAAAAAGGTCAGCTAAAGGACCCATCTTGAACGTGATGTTATGACTTCTTTATGTTTGACGATAAATAAGCATTCAATGAAGTTGTGTATCGATAAGACCAAGACTAGAAACCTAATAAAGGGGAGGAGAAGAGAAATACCCAATCGGAATAAAAGGATGTCTAAAAAAAAGAGCGCCTAACCACTTCATGAAAAAAAACTGACAGCTAACAAACAATTTTAATAACCAAGCATTTTCACATAAAAGCCAAAAACGTCAGTCCACTAAATAGGGCACAAACAATTTGCAATATAAATATGCAAGCTAGACTAACAAAATATATGGAATTTTATTTATAACTGATTTTACATATATCATTTATAAGATTTAAACAAGTAAATGACGAGCAAAAAATATTTTAGCTGATGAAAACCAAAGGATATTTTAGCAGATGATATAGAAATAACAAATACAAGCTTGAAACCAGTAAAAGCAAATACTCCGTGAAGCTTAGTGCTGATGATAATAGTAAAGCTGCAACAAAAACCATCATATAGTTGTGGGCTTCGAGAATTTGTACGCCGGCCTACCCTCTTTCGGGGGAAGTTTTAACGAATTAGGTTCCGTGGTAAATTTTTAAAAGGCATATTGTATTTGTAGATAAGACAATACCCAAAGATTTCGCCCTCAATTTGCAAGGACTTTAGATCTGAGTTCTGGTTTCCTATAGGCACAAGCCCCTATAGTTAAATACCCCTCCCGATAATGAGAGAGAACTTTCAATTAAGGTTAGTCGTCAAATGAATACATCGTACCCGTGAATACGTGATATTCAGCATATAGTAACAACGTGGATTTAGGTATGTAGAAATTTGATATTTAAAATTGAAAATTTACCACATTGCACTTAAAGCGGATGGTAGGGGAATGGATGATGAACCCGATCAATATCCCATGGTTCCGTCATCCCGGGCCATCATGGTCCCTGATCTACTTAGTCAGAGGAGGTAGTCGACCCAACCTGAAAGAAGGATCCTTATCAGCAGCCATAGGTTGCTTCGTCTAAGGGTACCTCGTAGACTTGGGGTGAATATATGTTTAAAAGTACAAATTTAAATCTATCTAAGCTAACAGAGGGCTTGGTGTCCAATCATATCCTATTGATTCATATCTCAAGGATTTCATACACCCGAATGGGCCCCAACGGCATGTTATGACGGCTACAACGGATCATGACGTCTTATGGATGCGTGGCAGCTGAGTCAGATGTAAAAGCAATCAGTATTGAATCGCCGATCTCTTCTAATGCGAGTTAATAGGAGTTTGAACACGGCTCAAACTAATAAACATGTATTATTGTGGTGTCAATGAGACATTTATTTTTAACATTCATGTTAAGCTTAGAAGGCTTAGAACCAAGAAAATTCATTATTGACTGATCCTTTATCAACAATTAGACAATCGACAAGTTCAAACATATAATTATAAAAATACACCCTAAATACTCAGCATGGGCCCCAAAGAGTGGCTGTATTTACAGCGCATGACGATTTGAGGATGCTGCGAAGGTTAAGAAATTAACTTAAGTTCAAGTCTGATCCTTCTATGCGAGTGTATAGAAGTCTACACGGCTCGAACTATCAATCAAGTATACGATCGCATCGTCGACCGAAATATTTTTTTAATTATGTTAATATTGCCTTTAGGTCTATAAATAGTGAAATTCACTTGCAAAGGCATGAAGAAAAATATGACACGATTCTCTGTCGATAAGTTAACAGAGTCCGACAAGGCTCAATCCAAAATGAAAATGCCAAAAAGTCTGTTATGATGGCTGTGTTGAACGTAGATCTCAACCGGAGGGTTATTCCAAATATTCAAAATGCCCATAAAATTCAAAACCTCCAAGATTATATCAATTTCAGATATTTAAATTCAAATTCAACCATTAAACACTTAAAGCAAAAGCCATCCACCATCCTCGCAACAATTTAGTCGAGGTGGACAATTTGAAAACTACTTCAGCTCAAGATCTAATGTTCTGATCGATTAATATCGCTAGGATTCTTTCTCAAACTTTCCTTGCTAGCAAGGACGTGGGCATCGTGCCTTTAACTTGGCGATTTGTGTCTGCCAATGACATCGCCATGATAAGACAAATTATTATCGGGCCCTCTGAACCTTGCGGCTTTGCCACTAAATGAATCGTTAAATTACGGTCGATGACCATAGCCCATTGATGGCTTCTCATGACACT